CACACACACACACACAGAGAGAGAGAGAGAGAGAGAGAGAGAGAGAGAGAGAGAGAGAGAGAGAGAGGGGCCGTGACACTGAGTGCATGATGTCATGATGATGTGAAGGTACGGAGGCCCGTCGAGGGGCACTCACGTGTATGGGTGAATGGCCCCTGACAAGCGTTCTCGTCGTTTTGGCCATGTTCAGGGGAAAGCTTGTGTGACTTGTGTCTCTTTGTGGCCCAGCGTTCAAGTCAATTCTACATTACTTGCTGTTTTAGTATCTCTGCTCCGGTGCTTATCGTCTGTGATGAATGAGAGGATTTCGCTAGATGCGCATCCGATGTGGCATGATATTTGAAGTAGAGTCTTGATGTGTAATATTGTGATGTGTCTTCTTCATGGTGGGTCACGAATGTTAGGCGTTGTAAGAATTGCAACTTACGGAGGCGTGGTAGGGTGAAGGATCTTGTGTGTTCTTGCCGATGAAAGTTGGAGATGTTGAATACTTTGGAAGAGCGACTAGATATTGATGATTTCACTAGTGTTTTGGATGAGCGAGTCCAGATTGATGATGTCACTAGTCCGATACGAAGCATACGTTGTGCCGAAGGTTGGACCGKTCGAGTAGCGTGACTGTCGACCCGCGTGGACTCTCTCTCTCTCTCTCTCTCTCTCTCTCTCTCTCTCTCTCTCTCTCTCTCGCTCGCTCGCTCGCTCTTGGGAATTTCACCTTGTGTGTGTGTGCGTGGCAGTTGTCTCGTGCCGCGGCTCTAGCCGCTGATTCGATCGGGATCGCGGTCCCCCGCTACGCTCGCCCTCCTCTAAATGATCGGACCCACCGTCCACGTGTATGGAGATCGTCCATGATATGACGCGCATGCTCCTTGTGCTGCCAGTACAAGCAACACATTAATTGCTTGCCCGTTGATTGGTCGTGCATGACACGACCCGCTCACGTGTGTCTGTGTTTCTCTTTCGTGAGACGACCCGCACGTTCGGGCAAGATGTGAACCCCGTCTTCACCCGAATATAAAACGCCCGGTAATTATCGCCGCATCTGGACTGAAAGTAGTGCCACATGCAGCGGCTATAATGAGCGGGCGTTCTATTCGGCTTCAGACGGGTAGGTACCTATCCACAGGCCAGAAGAAAAGAGCCACTCACGTGAATGCAAGCAAGCATCCTTAGCTGAGCTGATCCGCAGTTGATGGGCGTGAGCCGAACAGCAGCTTTTCTAAACATGACGTTCGGATGTGGGATGTTGTTTCTGATTGCAGGTCGGCCGGCGAGACAGGTCCATCCCATAGACAGGTCGTCCATCCTCCTTCTATTTGACTGACAGGGAGCCTTCACAGCGACCGACACAATGAAGGCCAGTCGCTCACTGGTGGTCTTGTTCAGTCTCTTGCTGGTATTGCTGATGGCTTGTTTAGCCATATACGGAACCTCCGCGGGCGTGGAGTCCGCTGAGGACGACACGCACGGCTTCAACTCCAAGGCTTAATTCGCACTAGACAATGCCATGCATAATGAGCTGGAGGCGACGGAGGAAGGCCGCCGCCTCCTAATGATTGGCTGTGCCAAGTGCGGGGGGGAAAAGTGTTGCCCCAAGGGATGGTACTGCAAGTATGGGAAGTGCGTGAAGCCTTACTGAAGGAGGAAAGAACCAGGCATGGAGGAGTTCGGTTGGGTCGTAGCTGAGAACGAGTTTCGCTGAGGTATGCCGATCAATGTCATCTCGATCCGCTGTGCAAACGGTCGTGTAGTCGTAGGGTAGGTAGCTGAGGACGCGTTTAACGACAAAGGATTTGAGTTCCAGTCTCTACTGTCCTGACCTTTACGTTTTTCCCTCCCTGTCAGTGAGCGTTTGGTTCACAGCTTCAGACGCATACTACGGTAGAGTCGCGTTTGCTCTCTAGTACAGTAGAGCTGCAATCCTGGGTGGAGTGCACGGTACCGTCACGACACGACATGTCACGTCGTTTGCTGCCGTTCGTCCCTCACTGTTTGTAAGTAAACTTCTGGGAAAACTGGAGCGCAGTCACGGTTTTTGCTTCAAAATGCATTCCACGCAAAACACTGAAAATGTGGAATGTATACAAGCTAGCTTGAGGGTCCGGTGGGGGTGTGTTATGTTCGAGGGAATACCTGAACTGCATTGTGAAACTGTTTTCGTGACTGCGCACTAGTTGCCCCTAAAGTTTGTTAACGGAGCAATGCCCCTAAACTCTTTCAAAGGAGCGATTCAACGCAGTAGAATAGAAGAGAAGAGACGAGAAGGAAACGGCGACCTGTGTCGGTCGATGCGATAGTGCAGGGAATGAATTGAGAAGCTTACTAGGAGGAATCCCCGGACTGTTGAGATTGGCATTTTGCTTACTCCATGGATCACAAGTGRAGTGTTTGAGATTACTTGGAAAGATTCAATCCTCCTGGAATTCTCATCATTGAAAAATATAAGCGTTTCCGTTGTGTTCATCCATAATGATTGCACAAGAGCTCTTTCCTTTGGCTTGTGTTCTTTTGACTATGCGTGCTGGTCTCTACCAATATTCACAACTTCCCTTCGGCTCTGTTCAACTGCATCTCTATTCCCCCTTTTCCCTCTCCGTCCGGGGCCATCCTCGCCCTCTCTCTCTCTCTCTCTCTCTCTCTCTCTCTCTCTCTCTCTCTCTCTCTCTCTCTCTCTCGCGCGCGCGCGCGCGCGCGCGCGTTGTTGCCGGGAACTTTTCTGCAGAGGACATAAGCATGGGTTCGTTTACCAACGCTGCCGTTGCTCTTAACCTTGCTGCTAACCCTGCTGCAGCTTCTGCTCCCGGTGTTGCAGGTGATGGTCGTTTGCTCTTGTGTTCTGTGCTCTCTTCACACTTCATGAATGCAGTATGTGCCTTTCACATGGTTTCAAGGGCAATGTTTCGGTGGTCTGAGCAGGGCTGGGTGGGGGAGGGGAGAAGAGGGGGGGAACGGTTACAGAGGAGTGGGCATCTGGTTGCCTTCCTCAGGCAAAGGTCTGTGCTAGGTATGGTGGACACCACCGTCCGTCTCTTCCTGTCGGATAGGAAGTGTACGCCCAACTCACTGGAGGTAAGAGGGCGTACTAACCGAAAGACAACTTAGAGAATCCTTACACTGCTACGATGGGACTTTGCTTGATGCATCTGGTCGAACCTGCGGTTTCTCCTGTATGCATCTGACTGGAACTACGTCCAGTGATAGCCAGAAAAGTCCTATTGTAAGTTTTGCAACAAACATACTCCGAATGAGACATTTTTCGATGTGAAGGGGATTCGCAGAGCCCCTATCTAAGGATTACACGCACACATCGAAATACCGTCCAATTCTTTTTTCATTTCTTTGTCTAACCCTGAGCCGACCTCGATTACAAATCATTTCCCAGAAGTCGGGATCAATGGATCATGTCCCCGTTGCGTTTTTTGTTGTTGTTGTTATTGTTGTCGTGAAAATATTGTGTTTCCGAAGTTTGACAACAAAAATATCGTCGGGTCCAAGTTTCCCTTGCAAAAATGTATGTTTGGCAGCAGCAGCTTTTGCATCAAGTTTCGCACCAAAAATGTCGCTGTTGCAGGACTTCGATAGCATAGGACGCGTCGGCCTTTGGCCTCAGTGACTCAGGGACTCAGGCCTGAGGCCAGAGACCCACCATCAGGCCGGTAGCGGTACCGGCCTGGACCAAAACCGATTGTCCAGGGCCCGAAACGGTACCGGCCATTTGATTTTCCCTATATTTTTTCGCGTTTGCACTCAGCCGAGTGATGTTCAAAAAATCTGAACGTGTGAACCCTCCCTCCCAACTTGCGCACGTGGCAAGTGAACCCTGCCTCCCAACGCGCGCACGTGGCAAGTCGGGAAGCACCGTGAAACCGCTTGAGAGAGAGAGAGAGAGAGAGAGAGAGAGAGAGAGAGAGACCAGCTTCTCTGTTTCGCACTGCTACGTTCATTTCGACATGAATCTGGCCGAGTGTACGCTCTAGCTTCAGCCGAACTGATTCTAGCACAAAGATGTGGCCAGGTTCGTCCTGAAATTCCCGTATAGCACACACACACACTCAGCGAGAGAGAGAGAGAGAGCTGCGTTCCTTTACACGGATCTAAAGCAGGTATTTCACCGCCCTTATAGGCCAACTTATGTGCATCCGTGTCTTCTTCTTTTTCTTCCTTCTCTTCTTCTTCTTTTCCCATATGC